GTGCAGATGCAGCTATATTCTGGGGTAGGAAGCTCAAAGAGGTTGAGGAAGGTCAAGGCTGAGGGGTTTTGTTTTTCTCTGAAGTAGAAAGCAAGGTAGTACGAATCCCGCCTCCACTTGAATTCCTCTTGTGAAAAGCAAAGTGTGCACCTAAGTTGACTGCCTGAATTAATGTTACCACCAACAGGCTCTCCCAAAAGCCTTCCAACAAAACCCATTCTCAGTTCATGCCGAACACAGAGCACTGGTGATTGACCAAAGTACAATACCACCGTGGACTATGGTGGTAATTACCTTAACCGGGAGAATTTTCCAGTGACACTTACTGTCTATAGTCACATTTAATGCACGACCTATATTAGTATGATTCTTTTGTTGCACAGAGCTTTTCTCCCTGAGTTACAATTTTCTTGAATTCCAAGATAAATTTTCTAAAATCATCATGGATTTTGATATCAGGTACACCTAGAGTTTTAAATCTGGTTTTGTCACTCATTACCATGATACGCACTACTTATCACTCTGGACCGTAGTTATCACTGTGTTGTGATGATGAAAAACTGTGCTGAAAACGGCTAGTACAGCATCTAACACAAAATAGCGATTCCCTTCCTACCTCCCTATCTTTCTTAGATCATCACTTAACACAGTGCCAAAGATAGGATACTCAATATACATCCCTTGTTTACCGTGATGGTGGTGGTTAGGGCCAGATTAAGAGATGAGCCTGTCCGGCAGACGTCCAGAGTGGCACATCGTGAAGGCTGCTGAAACTTCTCTATGTACTAAAATATCACAAGAATACGAGATGGAAGAAAAACCATTTTTAACTGCAATCTTTTCAACTGGGATCCTGTATGTGGTTGGGAAGAAAAAACACTTGGAAAGACAGTGAAACAGGCTCCATAAAAGACACGCTTGGGTAACAGAAGAGTTACCATGTGTAGGTTTAGTTAATGTGATAAGTGCCTTCTCCCCACCCACTCCCACACAAAGAAACAAGATAGTGAATTTCTAAAAATACGTAGACATATATTGAAAATGCATCCTTTTAGAATATGTGCCGACTTATTTGCTCCCCAGGGCAAGTCCGCAAATCTTCATACAATTCCGATCATATTGATGATAGTGATGCCTTAAGCTATAATCCCTTTTGAACTGGGGTCCTGGATTTCCTGTCTTAGAAATGCAAAGTCTAATTTTTCTAAGTCTGCAAGATATCCAAGGCATCCGTGTAATGAACAGCTACAGAAGATAGATACAATGTCTCCCTCAAGAGCAAAGTGCTGCTTACTGCCCATTATAAAATATTTGGGTTCCCTGAGCTGAAATTTCCTCTCCTATGAGGCAACCTACTCCATGTGTACATGTTGCCCTACCCTCTTCACAATTCCTGTGCTTTACTGGGGCTTCTGTAACCAGTGTAAAGAGACGCTGGCATTCTGGCTGCTGGCTTGGACTCTTCCGTCTTTTATCAGCATCCACGAAATTGTGGCGAGCCAACTCATGAGCTGGCTGGAAGAGTAAAATCCCAGGCTCTTTGCAGTTCTCGGGACCCACACTCAACAATCTGTAACAGGATATATGAAAGGTTTTGAGCGATAAAGCAAAAGCTCAGAAAAGCAGGAATATAATTGTAATCGAGAAAGGCAGGAAGACAGTAAATTCAAAATAGAGGCATGATTCAGCCAAAATAGATGAACATATCTTTCATTCTGACCGACAAGTTTTTATGCCTTGTTAAACTTTCTTGATAAAAGTTTTGGACCTAACCTCTAGGACGTGAGGAACTAGAAATTTAGTCCTGATAATAGTAACGCCCACTTTTGCGTTCCGAGAGGCAAGGATCTAGACCTAGTAACATTGGGCATTAACATCAAGATGAAAAACTGTTTCCTGGAATGAAAAAGTGTCATGCAAAGATATTTTTTTCACCCATCTCTTCTTTGGAAAGCCTAGGGAATATATTCTTATGAGATATTTCTTGGGATAATAATAATAAAGTTGCTCGTGGTATAAATTAGAATGTTTTTGGTTGCAAGTCACAGAACACCCAACTCTTAATTGATTTAAATAATGAATGAGATCTCTTGGGTCACACAGACCATGAAATCTCCTCAGTTTTTGTTTTTGTTTTTATTTTGGAGATCGAGCACATGCACACACACAAGCTGGTGAGGAGCAGAGGGACAGAAGGAGAGAATCCCAAGCAGGCTCCACACTCCACATTCCTGATGCAGGGCTCAATCCCACGACCGTGACATCCTGACGTGAGTCAAAAGCAGGAGTCAGACGCCCAACCAACTAAGCCACCCAGGTGCCCAAAATTACCTCAGTTCTAATGTTCTAGAGATATCACTTCTCTTTTAAAAGAATGTTCAAGATGCTCTCATAACTTACTGTTAGAAATGCAAATATGTACAGCCTTTTTGGAGGGGGATTTTCCAGTATGTAACAAAACTTTTTATTAACTTTTTCACACAGCAATCCTTCTTCTAGGAATTTTTCCTAAAGTCATAACTCCAGTTCCACTCCTAGGTATATACCCCTTATAGCCATTCGAATAGATTTTAAATATGGAGATTCAAGATCCATAATCAACTCTGCCCTATGTCTGTGATTCTGGGGTATGCCTCTAACTTCGATGAGATGGTACCCTCTACTTCTTTCCCTGGAAGGTGAGGGATTTGGATCAGATGATAGCTCCCACTTATCAAAAGTCGGCTCTGTTGCAGACACTATGTTTATTATTCTACCGTATGATTCCCAATCCTTTCTTGCAAGGTATGTATGTATGTATGTATGTATGTAATTTTTGAGGTAAGGTTCACACCCAGCACAGAGCCCAAGGCAGAGCTTGAACTCATGACCCTGAGATCAAGACCTGAGCTGAGATCAAGAGTTGGATGCTTAACTGAGCCACCCCGGCACCCCGCAAGGTATTTATTATACCCCCATTTCATAGGCAAGGACGTTGAGGCTCAGAGAAGTTTAACCATCATACAGTCCTCCGGTCAGTAAACCCAGGTTTACCTGACTATAAAGCCTACAGTCTTCCTAACGCATTAAGTTGCTTCAGAAGATGCAAAGGATTTAAGGCCTTTCACAACTCCATGTTCTGTGATTCTTTACAATTAAGGGAATCAACACATCCACCAAAGTGCTAATAGTCCATAACCTAAGCATTCATTCCTTTCTCCATGGGAATTAACCAGCAGTCAACCGAGTATCATGTTCACTTACCCTAAAGTCATCGTCACCTCAACCTCTTCTTGCCTTGTGTACCTCAAGGTAGTTCATTGTCCTTGCTTCTTCCTCTTTATCTCACCCCTGCCTAGGCAGTTACTCCGTGCTCTATCTGTGTACTTGAGTTTGTAGGCTCCTTACCAGATAAGTGGTTTTGATGGAGCGTGGATGTACTTGTAATTCACATAGATAACTGTGCTCATTCTTTGTCCTGGCTGGGATCTGAGATTCTCAAATCCATCTCTGTTCTTTCCCCGCTCTGTTTTGCAAAGTAAAAGCACTGGGGGGAGATAGGAGGATGGAAGAGAGGAGAAGGGAGAAACTGGTGGTGCGCCTTCTCTGTCTTTTTTAGGATCTCCTACAGCAAGTGTGTCTTCTCCAGAGCTCCAGTCTCCGCTGAACAACCCTGCCGTAGTTCCAGCCTCTGCAGAGTGACCTCAGCCCCTCGACTTAGGTCACATCACTTTCTCCCCTTGTCCCTCTCACCTCCTGGGGTGGAGACGACTTCCGGTCATTAAAATGCCTGAGCCTCACCTATCCCGTTTGTTTTCTTAACTGTTTCATCACCTGTGTAACGAATTCCTCATATTAAATTCTCTCGGGGCGCCTGGGTGATCCATCTGGTAAAGCGTCCAACTCTTGGCTTTGGCTCAGGTCATGATCCCAGGGTCATGGGATTGAGCCCGGAGCTGGGCTCTGCTCTAACAGCGTGGAGCCTGCTTAAGACTCTCCCTCTGCCTCTCTCCCCCGTTCGTGCTCTTTCTCTCTAAAATAAATTTTTAAAAAATCTCTCTGTTTTAAACTACTTAATGTGTTATCTCTTTTCCTAGTCAATTCTCAGCAGATATACTCAGTTTTTCCCTTTTTTAAAGGTCTGTCTCTATTCCTATTTGTCTGTGATACTAACTGCTGCAAGGTGGTCTACACTGTGTACCCAACACCTTGTGCTTGTCCGTGTCCTCCATAAGTGTCTCCAATTCTTGCCCCCACACACAGCACTTTGACGAATATTCTCTGTGTATGTCCCCTCATAGATCTTTTATGAGAGTTTTTCTGCAATATATCCTTGGAATGGGGTGACTGGGTCACGAACACATTAACTCGCCTAAATTCTGTTAGGTTGGTGGACGAAATTTCTTTCTCCATTTCCTCAACTCTTCACATCATTCAACTTTCCAAGTTTTGCCTTACCTTATTAAATTTCACAACAGTATCATTCAACAGAAGGATTGACTAACAATTGTTGAATGTTATACTATATGCCAGCCACTTTACATAGTTTCTCCTTTAGTCCTTACTCCAGTTCTATGGGTAAGTGCCAGGTGAAGGAACAAAGGATCAGAGAGGTTAAGCAACTTGCCCAAGGCCACGTAGCTAAGAAATTGCAGGGCTGGATCACAATCCAGGCCGATCTGCTCTAAAGCTTGTGTCTCTGACCCTTATGGCATATTGCTTTTACATCAATGGGGACATCCCTGCTTTATACTTGAACAACTGAGACTGGAGCGATGACATCAATTACATAATAGTGTTTGCATAACTGGGAAGAATTGGGGATCATTTTGACCTTGGATCTCACCTAAAGCCGGTGCTCTTGACTTTGCACAGCACCACCCAACAGACACCACGTCTGGGACAACAGAGAGCCCAGGGCGGTGACCTTGTGACTGCCAGTGACGTCTGTGAATTCTCTAAGCCACGCCGACAGATAATCGGGTTCACCAGAAGACCTACGGAAATAAAATTGCCCTAAATTTAATTGCTTTAGGAGAAAAGATTGAGGGCGGCATCCACGTTAGAATAAGCACTTTGAGGAGTCTGGCCATCTAAAGCCCAAGGTACTAGAACTCACCAGTTGACAACATTCATTTCCCAATTAAAAGACTTCCCGCAAATCAAACCATAATGAGATGCCACTTCACACCCACCAGGATGGCTAGAAAAATTTAAACAAATAAATAACAAGCGTTGGTAAAGACATAGAGAAATTGGATTATTCGTGTATAGCTGAGGGAATGTAAAATGTCTCAGCCCCCGTGGAAAACATTCTGGCCATCCTCAAAATCTTAAATGGAGAGTTACCCTATGACCCAGCACACCCACTCCTGGGTCTATACCCCCGAGAAGTAAAAACCATAGTACACACAAACGCTTGTACATGTTCATAGCAACATTTTTCATGACAGTCATGAAATAGAAACCATCCAAATACCCATCGACTGATGGATGAATAACTAAAATGTGGTATACCCACATAACGAAATGTTATTTGGCAAGAAAAAGAAATGAAGTGCTGACTTGTGCTACGACCTGTACAAACCTCAAAAACATTATGTTAAGTGGAAGGAGCCAGTCACGAAGGACACATACTGTATGATTCCACGTGCATGAAACGTTCAGAATAGGAGAACGTAGAGACAGAAAGCAGATTCGTGGTCGCCTAGGGCTGGAGGGTGTGTGTGTGGGGGGAGTGTTGGCTGGGGAGGGCTTATGGGTACAGGGTTTCTTTTAGGAACAATGAAAATCTCTAAAACCGATGGTGTGATGGACGCACAACTCGTGAATAAGCTAAAAGCTGTTTAATGGCCCACTTTAATAGATGACCTGTATGCATGTTGAGTTTTTCAGGAAAGCTGTAGAAAAAGGCTATGAGGTTAAGACTTTTGGAGAAATGGATGCTGGGAATGGACAAGGATGACATTATCTTCTTTATTTTATTATTTTTACACACAGTTATAATTGTGTAATTATACACAATTACACTCAGCTTGTGCCAGAAGAAATTTTTACTTCTCAGAGACTGCGTTTTTTTTTAGCCATCTGTATGTTTCTTTTGGGTCTTATGAGATAGGGTTTCCAATTCCTTTTTTCTTTTTCCTTTTTATTTATATTTATAGACATATATGAAGAGAGTTGTTAGAATAAAAACCTGCTATATAGTTGAGGATGGAAATAGTAGATAGAATTCTCCCACCGTTTCAGGTAAAAAAAAAAAAAAATTCAAAGGAAGTTCCAAGAAAACTATGCAGACTGAATTTAAATAATCATTTTTGAGCAGCAACTCTCAGAATTTTGGGACTCAGGAGCACTTTCCACTCTTAAAAATTACTAAGGACCCCAAAGAACTTTTGTTTATGTAGGTTATATCGAATATTATTTACTATGTTACAAATTAAATTGAGGAATTAAAAACATATATCTTTATTCAATCTATTACATGTCAACATATTTCAAAAAGGATTTTCTAAAATAAAAAATTGGTGGGGTGCCTGGGTGGTGCAGTCAGTGAAGTGTCTGACTCTTGATCTCAGCTCAGGTCATAATCTCACATTATGTTTGAGCCCTACATCAGGCTCTATGCTGATGGTGTGAACCTACTTGGGATTCTGTCTCTTCTTCTCTCTTCCTCTTCCCTGCTTGTGCTGTCTCTCAAAATAAATGAATAAACTTAAAATATAAAAAAGATGGAACTGGAGGGTATTATGCTAAGTGAAATTAGTCAGTCAGAGAAAGACAATTATCATATGACTTCACTCATATGAGGACATTAAGAGACAAAACAGATGAACATAAGGGAAGGGAAACAAAAATAATATAAAAACAGGGAGGGGGACAAAGCATAAGAGACTCATAAATATGGAGAACAAACAGAGGGTTTGTGGGGGGGATGGGCTAAAGGGGTAAGGGGCATTAAGGAATCTACATCGTTGCACTATTTGCTAACTAATTTGGATGTAAATTAAAAATAAAATTTAAGAAAACTAAAATAAATAAAGAAAAAAGGAATAAAAGAAATAAAAAATTGGTGAGGGGCTCCTGGCTGGCTCAGTTGGTAGAGCATGAGACTCTTAGCCTCAGAGTTCTGAGTTCGAACCTCAAGTTGGGTGTGGAGATTACTGAAAAAAATAAAATCTTTAATTAAATTAAAACTTGGTGAAAGGAATAGCATTGTTTTACTTTTTTTTCGCAAATTTCTTTAATGGTTGCCTTAATCAAATGACTGCTAGGATCTCCTATCCACTTCTGAATTTAATCTGTTGTAATGTGAGCACGGTGCGAATACCAACATAAAGAGAAAGGAAAATAACATCTTAGTATTTTTTACGAACATAGTTTTGATTTCATGAACCCCCTGAAAGGTCTTGGGAATCCCCAGGACTCTTAGATCGCGGTGTGCCAACCACTGGTTTAGTGTTTGCTAAAATTCCTGATAAGAGTTCCGTTGATTACATTTCACATTTCATTTTAATTCAATCATTATTTAATAATTACATTTCAAAATATGTGCACGTGGGGCACCTGGGTGGCTCAGTCGGTTAAGCGTCCGACTCTTAGTTGCGGCTTGGGTCATGAGCTCACGCTTCCGGAGATGAGCCCCCCTGTCAGAGGCGCCTGCTTCGGATTCTCTCTCTCTCTGAAAATAAATAAATAAATACTTTAAACAACAACAACAACACAATATGTGCACAGATGTCTAGGTATATGTACAAAAATTGCATAACATAGCGTGTGCCTCAACAACTAAACATTTACTTTTGCTCCATGAAAACATGGAAACCATCTTAATACCGGAAGAGGAATGGCGAGCAGTAAAAGGAAATCCCTCACAGTGAAGTAATGGGGCCACGGTTGATGATGTCAAACGCAGAGTGTGTTGCTCTTCTCTTCAACTTTAGGTGCACTTTTTGGTAATCACAATTACTGGAAAGCCCAAAAGGAAGCTAAGAAGGTGTCACCAGTGGTTTTGAAGCCTTGTGTGAGGAACTGACAGGACAGCAGAAAAGAAGCAAGTTTCAGGCCTGCCCAGCTCAGATGTCGATAATACAGGAGCAACAACAGCGGTAACAGGGGTCCCAGTAATCGTGGGGGTGATACAACAGGGTCTAAACAAATCCGTTTTGCTACAATAGTTCCCATGACCACAAACAGAGCCTGGACACTAAACAAAATGAATTCTGAAATGGGGGACATGGAGGTTGACCTTATTATAAAAGCCACTGAGAATCAGGGAAATAAAACTGGGGATACGAATAAGGAAATACAGGCATACGCTCTGCTTCAAGGACCCACATACGGTAAAACCTTGGTTTGTAAGCATAAATCATCCCCGAAACATGTTTGTAATCCAAAGCACTTGTATATCAAAGCTCGAATTTCCCCATAAGAAATAATGGAAATTCAGACGATTTGTTCCACAACCCCAAACATTCATATAAGCATGATCACAATCCTGTAATATAATATAAAATAAAAAGCAAATACAAAATATAAAGAACAATAAACAAATTAACCTGCACTTACCTTTGAAAGCCTTTGTGGCTGGTGTGAGGGAGACGAAAGAGGGGAGGGTTATTGTGTAGGACGACTTTCAGCATCACTAAAAGATGTTGACTACCGTGCAGTGTTAATAAACTCTTGTCAGAGACTGTATTTAATGTAACTGGCAATAAGGCAGCAGAGGAAAGGGTCTACATCTGCAGTCGGCCTGACCTAGAATGAAGCAAAGGACCGTCCATAGGTGCTTGGAAGTGACAAAAAATACTCTAGTGCCAGTTGTGGGCACCTTCCAACGTTCTGAAAAATCACTGATTTCTGCCAAACACCACGGCCTGAGACTAAGCATCCGAGCATGGGAGACGATCACCCACAATCCTGCAGGGAGCGAGAACGAGAACGAGAGCGAGAGCCAAGAGCAAGAGAGAGAGAGAGGGAGGGAGGGAGGGAGAGAAGAACATTGGTTCAGTTGTGATCATGTGGCTTTTGGAATCAGGTACTACTCGTATTGCAAGACATCGCTCGTTTTATCAAGCTAAAATTTATTAGCAATGCTTGCTCGTCTTGCGGAACACTCGCAGAACAAGTCACTTGCCATCCAAGGTTGTACTGCCTAAAAACAGAGAAGTGAACTGGAACTCTCTCCAAAACGTGCACGCCTACTGTGGAAATACCCACAGCAGCGGGGGGAAGACGGTGGGAAGCATTCGGCAAAGCAGAAACGGGGGAAGGGCGATGGAGGTTTGTTGGAGGGACGGCAGACCACAGACCGCCAGGCCACACTGAGAAAATGAGTCATGTTTTCCCAAAACGAGATGCAAACCCGCACAGGAAACCTAGAGAGGTTTGGACTGTCTGTTCGCTGATGGAAGCCTCATTCTGTTGAAAGCAGAGCTTCAGATATGTCCTTTACCTCCTTTGGTGGAGATTAAAGTGCTCAAATTTAGATATTTAACGAGAGGAACTGCTGCATAAAATTTAACTCTGACCATGTGAAAAGGCAGTAGCAGAAAATGACCGCGTTATCTTAGAGGAAACATGGGTGCAGTCCAGATATGTCTTAGACCTAAGAATAGTAGAATTTCAGAGTAGGAAAAAAAAAAAAAAAAGATATAACCCTGTGGGTAGACAATTTAAAAGTGAACAGGGCTGAAGGAGGGTGTCTATAAAAATGATTAAGTCTCTTAAAGCATGGAATTATCATAAATATGACACATATTTTTAAAAATTTGTTTAATGTTTATTTATTTTTGAGAGAGAGAGAGAGAGAGAGAGAGAGAAAGCGGGGGAGGGCCAGAAAGAGAAGGAAACAGACGATCTGCACAGAGCCCAACATGGGGCTTGAACTCAACAAACTGCGAGATCATGACCTGAGCTGAAGTTGGATGCTTAACCGGCTGAGCCACCCGGGCGCCCCATAAATATGATATCTTTTGATTAAGCCAAGCGTTTAATAGTTTGTGAATAAGATGGGAAAACGAGTGGACCGATAAAACACTCACTACTGTGAAATCCTGATTTCTAAAAGGTCTAGAAGGGCACAGCCCATACCCTTGGACCCACCGATTCCCCTCTGAGGATCCATCCCTCGGAAATACCAGCCCAGGTACAGAAAGAAGTATGTGGCAAGATTAAGTACTGCAGCTTTGTTTGGAGAATAATACAAACGACTGGGATTGGCTTAATAAGTACGGTACTCCACGTCATGGGATATCTCACAGCATTCCTCGCAGGAGGGAGCTGCCTACAGGGTTATGGAGGAGACGGAGCCCAGCGTTGTTTGGGTGAAAAGCAAGAGGTGTGGTCAGAGGCTCCGGCAAGCACAGAGTGCCACGGGGAGGGCCACGGGTGTGGAGCCCGAGGCAGAACCCGGCACCACTGAAGGCAGAGAGAGGAGGGTAAGAAAGCAAATGACAAATCGAAAACAAACAAGAGGCGAGTGATAATATTGGCTAGTTAAGTGTAACAAATACACCATAGCAATGGAAGATGCTAATCATTGCTAAACCTGGGGCCAGGTACCTTTAGCTTGTCAATTTTCCTGTAAATGTGACAGCATTTTCAAAAAAATAAAGCCTATTTAAAACTGTACATGCACAAGGATGAGACGTTTCCGGACAAAAAGATGGCAATTTAGTGTGTGTGTGTTTTTTTTAATCACCTTTTGTAGTAAAACCAAAATGAAGGGTAAAGGGTGACAAATATCACAATATGTTTACTAGTTACATCAGAAAAATCCCAGTGACTGGAAGACTGCAACATTTCGTGTAAATTACAAGTTCCTCAGAATTTACGAATTAATTTTTAACTACTGGCAACAAAGGAATATTCTTTGCCTTGTTGTAGACAAAGTATAACTGAATCGGGAAACTCATTTTTACCCACTGTGGACTCAAAAGTGTTTTGTCCCTGCCGGTCTCCCAAAACCTCCTGTCAAGCTTGGGTACATAACTTTTCTTCATATTTGATCTTAGCATTTGTAAGGGATAAATAATTGATCAGCACAGGAATTCTGGGAATATATTCAGCTTACGCTCAGCACTAAACTCTTTCTAAATGTCCTTAGGCGGCAACCCAAAATGTGCATCACCGAGATGTCAGTCGGAACGGGAAGCGCAGTGACACCATGGATTAGAGTCAAGAAATGTGAAATGCAAACAGGGGACTAGGAGACGTCAGTTTCACTGCTGGTTAAGTAGTCGGTGTACCTGGCTACTTAAAAAAAAAAAAAAAGCCCTTTAATATCTCTCGAGTAAGACTATAACCTCTTTGAGGTTAGAATCTCCGCCCTTCTAATTTTAATAAAATACGGTTGCAAGTGGAAACTTCAAAATGCGCCGAAGAAAAAGTATAATTTAAACGTTTTTTATTGTATTACGATAACACAACATGAGGTCTACTCTCTGAAATGGCTAAGTGTACAATGTTGTGCAGCCTAGCTCTAGAATTTACCCATCTTGCATAACTGACCCCTGATGCCATTAACAACTCACCTTTCCCCCCTCCCTCTAGCCTCTGGCAACCCCCGTTCTCTCTGCTTTTATGAGTTTGGCTATTTTAGGTACCTCCTATAAATGGAATCATGCAGTATTTGCTTTTCTGTGACTGGCTTTTTTCACTCAGCATAATATATCCTCAAGTTTCACCCATGTTGTCACGTATGCAGAATTTCCTTCTTTTTTAAGGCGGAATAATAAAAATCCCGTTGTGTGGGGGCGCCTGGCTGGCTCAGTCAGTAGAGCATGCGACTCTTTTATTTTTTTAAGTTTATTTTTTTAGTAATCTCTATACCCAACATGGGGCTCGAACTCACAACCTCAAGACCAAGAGTCACATGCATGCAGCTCTTGATCTCACAGTTGTGAATTTGAGCCCCACTTGGGTGTAGAAATTACTTAAAAATAAAGTCCTAAAAAAAATATTCCACCGTGTGTACGTACCACATTTCTTTATCCATTCACCCATCTCTGGGCATTTGGGTTGTTTCCACATCTTGACTATTGTGAATAATGCTTCAGTGAACATTGGAGGCCTAATACCTGTTTGAATTCCTGATTTCATTTCTTTCATATAAATACCCAGAAGTGGGGGCACCTGGTGGCTCAGTCGGTTAAGCATCTGACTTGGGCTCAGGTCAGGATCTTGCAGTTCGTGAGTTCACGCCCCGCATTGGGCTCTGTTGACAGGTCAGAGCCTGGAGCCTGCTTTGGATTCTGTGTCTCCTCTCTCTGCCCCTCCTCTGCTCATGCTCTGTCTGTCTCTCTCTTTCAAAAATAAATAAACATTAAAAACCATTAGAAACCCAGAAGTGGGATTGCCGGATCAGATGGTGGTTCCATTTCTAATTTTTTTGAGGAATCTCCATGCTGTTTTCCATAGTGGCTGCACTGTTTTGCATTCCCACCACCAGTGTATAAGAGTTCCCTTTCCCCACATCCCTGCCAACATTTATTATCTTTTGGGTTTGGTTGTTGCTGTGCTTTTTTTTCTTTTTTAAGTTTATTTATTTATTTTGAGAGAGAGCTTGAGCATGGGGGTGGGAAGGAGCAGAGAGAGCAGAGAGAGAGAATCCTAAGCTGACTCTGTGCTGTGAGTGCAGAGCCTGATGCCGGGGCTCAATGAACCGTGAGATCACGACCTGAGTGGAAATCAAGAGTGGGACACTTAACCAACTGAGCCACCAAGGCACCCTTATTTTTTTTTATTTTTTTTATTTTTTGATAATAGATGCTCTGACAGGTGTGAGGTAATGTCTCATTGTGATTTTGATTTGCATTTCCCTGATGATTAGTGATGCTGATCTTTTTGTGAACCTATTGGCCTTTTGTGTGTCTTTGAAGAAATGTCTATTCAAGTCTTTAGCCCATTGTTTTATTTATTTTTTTATTTTTTTTCAATATATGAAATTTATTGTCAAATTGGTTTCCATACAACACCCAGTGCTCATCCCAAAAGGTGCCCTCCTCAATACCCATCACCCACCCTCCCCTCCCTCCCACCCCCCATCAACCCTCAGTTTGTTCTCAGTTTAGCCCATTGTTTTAAAAGCTTCATGACATTGGTCTTGGCAGTGATTTCTTGGATATGACACCAAAAACATAGGAAACAAAACCAAAAATAGACAAGTGGGATCACCTCAAACTAAAAATTTTCTGCACAACAAAGAACACAATGAAAAGTCAACCTAAAGAATGGAAGAAAATATTTGCAAACCGTCAAGCAACTGGTAAATTTCCCAAATATATTTCAAAAACTCATAAAATCAAGAGCAAAAAAGTTAATAACCCAATTTAAAAGGGATACTTTTTTTACACTTGATGTCGTATATGTGTGTAAAAGAGTAACCTTTGTCTGAAACATTTTCATTCCAAAAAAGTATTATTTTTAATGTCGTGCCAAAGTTCCCAGGCTCCACTCAGGGTGTAACTGAGGAACACTATGAATGCCATAATAGGATGAGCTTCCATTTTCACATGCTTATAAAATCCCTGCCCCCCTTTTACCCCTCCCCCCCACCGCTTTTCCCCAAGGCATTTCTGGGATCTACTAGTGTGTGTCATATCGTCAGAAATGGGTCCAGTTAGGCTCTTCCCGCCCAGATTTCTTGTGGAGGATCTTGCCCTGGCCTGCTACTTGTGCCCTCATTGCATGACAACGTGACTGGAT